GCTCTAAAGCAAAGAGATACATGAGAGAGCTAGGAGCTAACTCATCAATTTGGCAGCACAGCAGGCCTATCTTTTTGAAACAGCTGTGTCAGACTTCAAGGGACAGGTAGATAGCCGATGAATCGATTACCAGCACGTAAATCAGCAATCCAAAGGCCGACAGTTGGGTGGGACCGGTTCTTCATAGACACTAGCTATCTCGGAGGTACCAGACGATATTGCAGAGTACCTCGAGATGACACAGGCGCAGGTAAGTATCCGGGCCGTGAATGACGAAAGAAACTCACAGCTAACTATCACTGAAGCCTTCGTTCAGCCGCAGAGATGTTCATGTCAGCCTCCGAGGTGACGCAAAAGCAGTTCAGTGTGCTGCGCATTTACGCCACTTGAAGCTTTGATCAAAGTGCTCCTTCAGGTCAGCGATAAAAGGTCGGCGGGCTTGTTACGGCGGCCCCGATTGGAAGTCCTTGCTTCATAAATCCGACTAGTATGATATTGTTGAAGCCATTAATGACCCTGCATTTACTATCTAAAACGAGGTCCGGTTGGTTCTCTTCGGGGCGAAAGTTGGATATCTCGTGGGTATGCAAGGAGGACGTCGTCCGGACACCTTTTTAGTCTACTGGTATTTGATGGAATCTCCACATTTGCGGTCATATGTACCAGGCTATATATTGTAATGCACCGTTATCTTTTGACACTTGGTCATACTACACATGCACAAGATGAGACAAGTTTCCTGACATTCAAACTCTATGGATATAAATTCTAGATTACAGGTAATGAAATCATGCATGCGTCATTTAAAACGTTCCCAGGTTCTCAGCGACCTTGAACGGAGCGGCAGTCTTGCTGCGGATCTCGTCGACGGTCACGCCCTCGGCGGTCTCAGCCAGGGTCAGACCTTCCGTTGGGCAGACATCGAAGACGGCCAGATCGGTGATGATTTTCCACACACAGCGGGGACCGGTGAGAGGGAAGGTGCACTCGGCCAATATCTTGGGGTTGCCTTTCTTATCGGTGTGTTCCATGGTGACAACCACCTTGGTCTTCTCGGGGTTGGCGACGAGGTCCATGGCGCCGCCGACACCCTTGACCTTACCGGGGAGCATGAAGTTCGCCAGGTCACCGTACTGGCTGACCTGAAGGGCGCCGAGCATGGTGAGATCAATGCGGCCAGCGCGGATCATACCGAAACTCTCATGGGAGCCGAAGACGGAGGCGCCGGAGCTCAGGGTGACGGTTTCCTTGCCCGGGTTGATCAGATCGGGATCCTCTTCGCCAGGCTTGGGGTAAGGGCCCAGTCCCAGGATGCCGTTCTCGGCCTGTAGGACGACTTCGACGCCTTCGGGGAGGTAGGCGGGGGCGATCAGGGGGATACCGATACCGAGGTTGACGTACATGCCGTCCTTCAATTCCTTGGCAGCACGCTTGACGATGCGTTCGCGGCGAGCGGTAGCCTCGCCCGATCCTGGAGCAGTCAGCAGGGAGCTATAGCATCAGATGTTAGAATCATGCATACCAGCCTGGAGCATCTCGCTGGGATCCTTGGCGAAGGTGAGCTTCTCGATCATGGTCTTTTCCGTACTCTGGATGACCTTGTTGACGTAGATGCCTTGCAGGTGGATTTCCTCGGGAGACAGCTCGCCAACCTCGACAATGTGATCGGCCTCGACGATAGTGTACTTGGCGTTCTTAGCCATGGCTTCGTTGAAGTTGTTCATAGCCTTGCGGAACTGGCAGTTACCGAGCTTGTCGGCCTTGTGGACACGGATCAAAGCGTAATCACCAAAAATGGATTCTTCCAGGAGATAGTTCTTGCCGTTGAACTGCCGGACTTCCTTGGGTTTCGAGTATTCCTTGACGGTGCCATCTTTGTTGTAACGAACGGGGAGTTCACCAGTTTGGACTGTATCGTCAGCTGCGTACCTGAAGCCGTGATGCAGAGCAAACCTACCAATTGTTCCATAAGCCGCGGGAGTGTAGAAAGCAGGAACACCAGCTGCACCAGCCGCACACTTTTCAGCAATAGTGCCTTGAGGGGTAAGTTCCAGAGCGAGGTCGCCGTTGAGGTACATCTTTTCAAAGACCTTGTTTTCACCGATGAACGAAGCAATCATTTTAGTAATCTGACCAGACTCGAGGAGTTGGCCTGGGAATGTCAGCGCCATCGTTTCCCTAGCCAATTGCTTCACTTGATGGCAAATAATATAACTTACCCAAACCAGCACCAGGCATTCCAGCATTGTTGGAGACGACAGTCAAATCCTTGATATCGGGACGATCACGCACAGCATTGATCAGGGTGTTGGCGACACCGGAGAAACCAAAACCACCACACAGCACTGTAGACGAGCCCTTCATGTCCTTGATGGCTTCCTGAGCCGACGCGCATACTTTATCGATGGCTCTCTTGTTGGCGGAGATTGAGAAATTCCGCCGCCCCAAGATGGGGCGGAACACTGCAGGAAGAGGTCGCGACATGATCGGACCTGGATCAGTTGCTCAATTGAATGAGTCAAACTGAGGAATGGAGAGAAGTTAAAGGAAGGGAGGGGAGAGAAATAAGAGAAAAGACGGGGAAAGAACAGAAGCCGACGACGAAAAAGAAACGCCGCCGGCTCTGGGGCAACTGGGGAAGCTGATCGGTATGTTCCGTACGCATATTTATTAGATGATTACCTGAGGATTATGGACTATTGGAGAACAGACATAGAGAGAGAGAGTAAAGCATCGGCTAGCAGATGACGCCAAACCTGCCGACAAAGCGATTATCCGCCTGTCAGTACTACTACTAGTATGGCAGTAGTACTGTTTTGCCGCCTTCCGAAGCCGGTCTCACTCCGATCGTACCGACTGCGTAATACTGGCAACGGTAATTTACAGGTATCAATGGGAGTATTCTCCGAATGTGGGAAAGGGTTTCATCCCATCTGCGGGGCGACGGGGTCTTCAATTGGAGCTATGAGAATGATTATTTTCTCTTGAATTCATAGATGTAAATGAAGTCAAAGCAGAGGTTTCTTTCAAAAGAGAACAGTCAATATCTCCAGTTAAGAGACTTTTTGCCAACTTTACGAAAGATGTGGGATCCGTAATGTCCTGTAATGTCTGCAGGTTCCCTTCCGACTCGGGATCCGCATCGGCAGAAGACCCTGACATCTCGGCTGGGGTCCTTGCCGGCCTGAGGCTCCCAGGCTGCAATCGAACTACTGCTTTCCGTAAACAATGGAAAGGAACTCAGCACAAGGAAGATGCCAATTATCTTTAAATCTGAAGAGAAATTTATCTTCTTCTTGAGATAGAGAAAGTGAACATGTAATCGCTGATAAGCAGGATTCTTCCATATTGGCTGGATGTCACGCGTCCATCGAATCACCATGAGTAAGGAGAACTGGATATACCGCTGATGGCCAGTCCTTTCGAGACTATAAATCCCCGACTTAGATCAGTTTGATCAACCGACTGTCTAGATTTCCATCAATAGCAGCCGAGCAATCTGTATCAGATCCTCCACATATCGATCTCAGCGTGGGGCAAGCTTTGGCAACTGTGTTGATGTAGCCCCACATTCGTATATAGTATAGCTGACACATGGACATACCTCTAGTTCGTTCGGTCCTTTCCCTTCAAGAGAATTCAAAAGGACATTGTTCCCACGCAAGTAAGAGAGACGGCAGCAGGTTACTCACAAATCATCCACCAGTGCAGCTAATTTCCCACCATGGGCAGTTTCGCTCCAAGGTCGTGGGCTCCCCATCGCAGGTTTCTTTCCTGTTCGAGAACTTGATAGTTCACGTTCAACAGAATCATGTTGGGTCGCTGGCGGTAGCACCTTCGTCACCTTTGTCAGGCTTGATAAAGTCATATTGCTTCGCATGCAGAACGCCTTTCACGCCTGCTCTGAATTACCGGAAGCTCTGCTAAACCGACCAGCTTGATGGATTTGCGGTGAAGCTAAAATCTGATAATTCAGTCATCTAATTCAGCTATCATGAAGGCTGGATACTCGTCCTGTGCGCCAAAAGAAGGTGGCAGGTAACTCGCACGAGGACACTGCAAACGAAACATCCAGATAGAGCAAGCGCCAACTGACAAGGACAGTTTTACTTTGCCATTGACTGCAGAGATTCGAGAGTCCATATTTCCACCTTCAATCAGAATATGTGGAACCTGTCAGCAACTGGTATGGAAACAGTACGACCATCGTTCGTGAAAGTCAGCAAAGTCAGTCAGGGTCGATGTACGGGAACTGAAGTCTCCACGACTGCCGTTCAACAAAGCGACCCCACTCGCGCCTTCACCACCGATTAGAATACTCTGGAACGACAAATCATAACGACGCATGAGAGCATAATTGTTATGCTCCCGAAGTTGTGTCAGACTAATGAATTTGATGGTTGGTCGTCGCCATGATTGCGAGTTCTGGGTCGACCGTAAGTGTACGAGGACCACAATACCCCATGGGGCAGGAATCAGCGCCAACGAGATAGTTCCTTTTTCGCATTCGGGAGTTCTCCGGGATGGAAGAAGAACAACAACAACGCTTCACATCAATCTTCAGTGCGGGAAAGAATCATATGATAGCAGCAATTGATGGGGGTCGATCCCTTGACTGAGAGAGGAATGCACAAAAGTCAGAATCGACAATACTGCAGCTAGACCACATTACCAGATTCGAACACCAGTGGACAAAAAACAGCAACACCAACTAACCGGATCGGTCATAAGGTGATCAGAACGGGACAATGCAACAAATCACAGAGCGATCCCCCTCACCGTCGGCCATTACCTAAGGATCTTAAGGCACCTGAAGGATCCCTTAGGTCACGGACTGGCCAAACTTCGGAGATGTTGGTTTCACTCGGAAAGTTTCCTGCTGCCATCCCCCTGCAACTTCCCACCTTCATCAGTTTTCGATCATGTAATGTAGCATTACCTCTTAGGCCTCCAAGTCCATCCTTATTTATCCCCCCTCGCGCTCCCCCGCGAGAACCATCATGGTTTTGAAAAAGTGTAACATCTGTGACCGTCGCTTCAAGAAGACGGAACATTTCAAGCGTCACGAACGGTCTCGTCAGTAGATCTATCAGAACTGAGGCAATCAATCCCTTCTAATGGATCTGTGTACAGACACCAAGGAAAAGCCTTATGAATGTAATGTCTGCCACAAACGATTCTCTCGGAGGTGGGTCATGCACATGTCGGATCTGCGCTTTATATAAGGTAGTACTGGATCAGGAAATTGCAGATGCTAATATCTCCACTACAGTGATGTCTTGAGTCGCCATGCAAAAGGCCACAATGCCGCGCCGTCAAGCGCGACCAACGGGGTGGTGAAGACTGACCAGCATCATACTTCGTCTACTCAAGCGTATGATCAACAGCACTCTCGTGTCAACGGCAACGGCCAATTCATCCCGAGCGTCAACCCGGTAGACGCACAGCAGGCACAGATCGTGCGGTTTATGCCGCGCGAAATCTCCCTTACGACGCCGGACGGGCTTCCGTCATCTTCTCTTGATTGCTTGGCGGACATATCTGCTCACCAGGCTCGGACTCACACCCAGCTCAACCCCATGGTGATGGATCACCAGCAGGCCTACCTCGGGTGGGGTGATGTCACCGCAACCGAACCTTCCCCGTACAGAGCGCCCGTATTCGGCCCAGTGCCGAATGACATCCTTCAATTCTGGCTGGAACCCCGGGGCGACACCACCTCAAATCCAAGTCCGATAGACCTCATGAGCGACTCCAGTGTTGGTCTCGTGGATGATCAGGCACCAGCGTCGCCTAGAGCGCGGCAGAATGGTCATTCGGCTGAAAATCCAAGCATCCAATCTCCGAGCAACATTCCCAGCGAGAGATTTGCCAGAGTACAGCGGTACTGGCTCACCCCCACAAACAACACCGGGCGCCTGATGAATACGTTGTGGGGGGATGTAGCCACCTGTTCACTGGACAATATCCTTGGAGTGTATTCAGGGCAGTCGTTCAATAGTCCGCCTGGCCTATCAGGGGATTTGAGGTATGGGCTGGATGAGGAATGCAGGCAGAATCTTCTGGCCACCTTTGGCCAGGCTCGACGCAGCACGTCAAATGATGCTTCGAACGCTCCACGCATGTCTGAGGCACCTTTTGGCTCTCCGCAAGCCTTTCCTCCAGCTGAAATCCTGGACATGGCGCTCGACTTGTACTTTCGCAATTTCCAGCCGCTAATACCGTTCATCCATATCCCTACATTCTCTGCGAAAAGGACTCGCTCACCAGTGCTCTATGTCATGTGTATGATTGGTATGATCATTCTGGGTACAAAAGGGACAACAGCGTTTGTCTCCAAGAATTTCAACGTAAGTCCAAATCCCTGACCGTCGAGTGATATTGCTGAGTTCCTGTGTTTGCTAGTTGGTCCTTGACAAGATCACCGAAGAATTGGCCAAATGCGCAGCAGGAAGTGAGAACCCTGTCGGTACTGTGTCCACCTTTGCCGCGGCTTTACTTTTCCTCAATTTGGCTGCAATGACCGGGGTAGAGTCTCCACCACTGACCCGGTTTATTCATGCTGATTTGTCCACAGGAAAGGGAGCACATTGCTAAAAGCCAAATGTTGTATATCAGCCTTATGACTGTAAGTCTAATCCTCGTCTGTCTCGTTATAGGGAAGCGATAAATGCCAACAGCCATCAGACTGCGCAAAGACATGGGTTGTTCGCTGCAACGGAAGGACAAATTCTCGACATGAGTCTCTATGAGGCAATCCCCGATGTGGATGAAAGATGGAAAGCATGGAGCAAAGTGGAATCCGTGAAGAGGTGCGTATCTCAACTGTGGAAAAGGTGCGCAGCTCCTGCTGACTCGCTGTGCAGACTTATCATCGGACTCCTGCTGCTCGACTCCTGGTACTCGTCCTTCTTATCAACGAGCCCGATAATCGTACCAGAAGCAATACAATTTATTCTACCGTGTGACGGAGCAATCTTTGACGCGAAAAATGCCATGCATTGGATGCAGCTTATTCGCGTTGGCAAGCGAATTTTGATGCCGACCGTTGTCGCTCCATCCGAAAATGTCGATCTTCCAGCGCTGGATAACTCAGTCGACGGTCTGTGCATGCACGGGGTGTTGGCAATGGTTCAACTCCGGCTCTGTGAGGCTTACCACCGCCTGTTATCCAACCGAGCAAACTACCCGTTCGCGCCATGCCATACCTACGCTATGGACGGCCGTGCAAGATGCCTGCCAACGCTTCAGCTGCAAATAGCTGATAAATATAGGGAGGCCCTGGAACGACTTAACCCGAATGCTGTAGTCATGTGGCACAATATGTGCATGACACTCACTGCGGACATCCAGATATTCGAACTGGCTGCGGGTCGGTCAGGTCCTCTGCCAGCCCGGAAAGCCCTCGATGATATCGCCGTATGGTCTCAGACACCAGCCGCCCGAAGGTCGTGTCTCCACGCGGCCCAAATATACAAAGCCATGATCAACCGCAAAACATCAGATCATACCATGTTCCACTCGATGCTCGCACTCTTCACTGCGGCGCTCGTGCTGGGGCTGTATACATTCATGGCACCACGTCCGCCAGAGACCACTGCCGGATGCATTTCCGTGGAACTCCTGGACGACGTTGACTGGCAGCAAGTGGGTCGAGAGGGTTTCACCAGCTTTATGGAACCTCGCGGTAACCATGCATTCACCGCTTCGAACAATTCCACAGTCAATTTTATTCGTAATGGCGGTACATTGTACCTTCGCGGAATCCCAGTGCAAGGAGGCTATCAATCTGCGCGGCGCATACTACTGGACTACGCGGGGCTCCTGAAGGACTCTGGGAAATGGAGCGTCCGAAAGTTCTCTCACGTCCTTCACATTATGAGCGATGTCCTCATGGATATTGAATGAGGTCTTGTTGACTGCGCTTCAAAGGGCTATCAATTGGACTCTGCATGTCTGAACGGGGGATATCCAGTTATCGATCACTCCGGCCATGTCTGCATCTTTGATGCAAGGTTCTTACGGATTTATTCGTCAGCTTTATCTGACGGTTGTCCTCGGAATGACTCCCACGTTTCTGTCCGCCTCCGAACGCTGGACGGTTGCGTCGCCGCCCCTTATTCAGCAGCTTTTGTTATTGACAGCGCCTTTGTTAACTTCAAGATCTATTGAAGTCATGTGTTATGATCATGCTATGATGACCATTGGTACGAAGCAATTCTTCGTGTTTAATGACCTCTGAGATGACGTATGGGGAAGCGTCTTTGGATTCATGATCCCAGCGATTGAAGGGCATCAGTACGTCTATATTATTTTATTATTTACAGGGTCCTAAGAGGGTGAAGACAAGACCATCACCATTGCCGAACTCGACTCCACAGCTTACCCAACTCCTCCGGCGAGGCAATGACGCTCAGTGTGCACATTTGCCCATCGCGGAGATACGAATCTCCCTTTGGATCACCGGTCAACACCACTCTCGAACACCCACAATAGGGATCTCCGAACCACAATGCCTCCCCGTCTCTGTCACTCTTCGCCTCAACGTGCGCGCCCTCCGACTTAACCGACAAGGGTTGATTAGTCTCGGTATACTTGGAGACGCTCAGCCCGTTGCACCTCGCATCAGGCATGTGCCACACATCTTCCAGGACAAGCTTGTTCGGTCGAGGATCGCGAGGTCCGCGCTGGACCTGTAGCTCGACCGTGCCGATGCCCAGGACTCGCGACCGGCCGATCTTCCCTGGTGCGCGGCGGTAGGAGGTGAAGGTGGACCGGTTTTTGGCGTAGTGGCAGTTGCCGCCGACGACGATCCAGTCCCAGCAGCGGTTGTATTTGTGAGAGCCGGTGTGGGCGTTGGCCTTGTGGCGTCGATGGTGTGAGGGAGTGGGAGTTGAGGCTTGTGAATGTGCATGCGATTGTGTCTTCTTCTGGACCTTGGGGTCTCGACGGCCATGCATATCCGCCATTTCCACTTTTTCCAATGAGAGGAGAGAGAGTAGATGCCTCAGGCAGGATAATGAAATAGAACGAGATGAATCAAGTCAGTGTTATACTGACACCACTAAGCGATCGACAGATGTATAGATGCCTGCACAAAGATTCTCTCCTTGACGTACAGTCGCCGACAGACAATATTATAACCTGACTCCCCGTGGCAACCTCCCACCACATGGGGAATATATCCCCTAGACCGAGCGACACGTTATCCATGATGTAACCCCATCAATGGTGAAACCTAATTGCACCGGATGATCGATAATCCAATTTGTACGGAGCGACCCATGAACCAACCTTAAACTCAATCTTCACAGTGAGCCATTTTGTAGGCCCTGGGGAATAGCTATTTCCGCCCTTGGTTTGGCCCATATCTTTGACGTCAGGAACCGGGGATGGGGATGGGACGGTGTTTGGTTTTGGTGAGATTGTTTATCTGCCCACTGATAGCAATTCAGAGGTAGAAATGTGTTCTTCTCTTGCGACTTGCTTCCAGCAAGATGAATGAGAATGGTCTGTATTCTACATAAGAGCTGCAGTATTGTATGAATCTAAATCATTTATATGTCTATTCATCATCCTGTATACAAAGTAATATGTGCAACGGGTATAGTACCAGCCAACGCTCAAACACCAGTTCCGAACCACACTCTTCACCTATAGAGAAGGCCCTCAACCATCTCCGCAATGGCAAGCGAGCTCGTCAACCCCGGACTCTCAATCCCTAGCAGATTGATGAAGCCCGGAAACCCTTCCTCCTCCTGAATCACAAAATCCTGGAACCCCTTGCCCGTGTTGACGGCGCCGCCGCGGCCCAGCTTCGGCCGGATGCCGCAGTAATCCAGACTGATGGCTTCCGTGTCAACACGCGGCAGGTACGCCTTGATCTCCGGCAGGGCCTGCTGCAGCCTCGCCGGACTGGGCTTCAGGTCCGTCGGATCATCCACCCACTCGACATCCGGTCCGAAGCGGATCCGGCCCCCCAGGTCCAGCGTCAGATGCGTCCCCAGCCCTCCATGGCCCGGCAGCGTAGCCGGATAAACCAGCACGGAAGTCCGGGGAAACGAGGCCGAGTACGAGAAGTACGTGCCCTTGGCGAAGAACGGGGTGCGGTGACGCTCACTCGGCAGGACCATGTTGTTGATCGCGCACGCCCCGTTCCCCGCGCTGTTGATGAGCGTCTCCGCCGTGATGGAGGTCTCCGCCCCGTCCGCCGACACAGCAGTAATCCTGTACCCTCCCCGGCCGCCATCCAGCGCCTCGATCCCCGTCACGTTCGTCAGGAACGCGCAGTCCCCGCCGCGGTCCTCGAAGTCGCCTTGTAGGTACGTCATCAGCGCGTGGCTGTCGACGATCCCCGTCGTCTCGCTCTCCACGATCCCCGCTAGAGCTTGGACCTCGGGTTCTCGCCGCTGGGCCTCCTCGTGGCTGACGAGCCGGGTGGGTACGCCGAGGGTCTGCGCGAGCTTGTGTGTGCCCAGCGCGGCAGCCCATTGTTCTTCGTTCTGCGCGACGATCCATTTCTTCGTGTTGCGGTGTGGGATGCCTTGTTTGGCGCAGAGGTCGTACATCATTTGTTTGCCGCGGATGCAGAGTTTCGCTTTTAGGGAGTCGGTTCCGTAGTATATTCCCGCGTGGATTACCTGGCCATTTAGTGACTGTGTTAGTCCATATGCGTAGAAGTACGACAAGAAGCAATCACCTCGGAATTGCGACTGCTCGTCTCGGTCCCCACTGCATCATGCCGCTCTAAGAGAATGGTCGATGTACCCTGTCTCGAGGCCAATTGCCGCGCGATCGCAAGACCGACAACGCCTGCTCCGATCACCTTGTCATCAGTGAGTATTCATTCATCAAGCGCGACGAAAGTCTGGGAGGGGCTTACCGCATGTGTGACGTCGGCGCTGGAAGCCCGCGTGCTTGAGAAGTTGCGCCGGGCGAGGAATGGCCTCGATACAGCGTTGCAAGCGCGGGTAGCCATCGCTGTGGCTGTACTGAAACTGTGTTCGAGTCTGGGGTTATGTGCAAAGTGATATTCTCTGACTTTCCCAAAATTGAGAGGTAAATCATGGCTGGGGCGCAATAACCGAAGTGGAATTGGGATTGAGGCCGATGGCCGATAAGGCCGCGATAAGACTCCTCTACCCGAATCGTGCTCCCGCGGCCCTCATGGAGTACATGGAGGCTTGCGATACACTCTACGATGATCACTCATTAGCTACGCTCGACGTTATCACTTAACAAGCATTCCTGCCATCAATGTCGATAGCTGCTGGTAAACGGTCAGGTCTGATGGAAATATTCATGTACAAATATGCCATTCCTATGAAGATATCGTACAACCCACTCTATATAATCATACGTAACTCACACCAACACAAGCTCTAGCCTCGTTTTCCAACGTTCTTGAGCATCTCATCCAGGTGCTACAAGAGTCAGCGATATATCCAATTCCATACCGGGGAGCTGCATACCTGTTTCTGTTCTGTTGCTAGTTTGCCATGGGTATCCTGTGCTCATGTCAGAGATCAGACACATTCCGGGGGTAAATGATCCAGCTTACACTGATGATGGTCAAAATCAAAGAATAGTTATTAAACAAAAATTTCTCCCGTCTCTTTGCGTCACCACCGCTGCGACTAAGTTTGGTTAGCAGGCCATCGAATTCAGCGGTCAATCGCTTCAGACTGTTCGCAACAGGCTCGTCATCCCCGGCATCGCTGCTCAGCACTAATATCCCGTGCAGGAGCTGACCAAACCTCTGTGTGAGAAAGTGAGGTGCTGAAGATTGCGTCAAGTCATCGCCTCCCGCTAATGACAAGGCAGAAACAGCACTGCGACCGGTGTTGGATGCCACTCGCTTCAAGGACTCCCGGTGAAGGTCCATAATAACTTGGAATCGGGGCCAAAGTTGCATGTTGATACCGTTGATGTAGGAATCGGCAACAGGCACTTTCCGCCGCTGTAGTTCGAATGCCGCTTGCTGGTTCAATCGCACACAGATCAACACTCCCAGTGAGTCTGTCGAGTTCTCGATCAATTGTTTTGTAAGACCTTGCCCCAGAGCGAAAACAGGTTCGAATATCTCAACCGCCTTCCGAGAAATCTGGTGAAAGGACAAAGTGGAAAACATCTCCGTCATAAAAGAATATTCAGCCGAGATGTTGTCCACCAGGGCCAGGTTGAAGTTTCTGAAAGGAACTTCAATTCCATGGAACGCATTATCCTCTTCGGCGAGATATGCAGACAGGGCCATGTGGTTACTAGTACGAAGTATGTCAATACGTCTCCCCAGCGAAAATGGGTCATGCGCAGCGGATCCAGAGCGACCCGAGGAGATGATATGTCCTATGGGATATAAGCCTTGAGTGCAGAGACGAGAAACTGAACGAACATGACGAACCTGTCTTCGGTGCGGAAGGGTCTCCCCCCAGTATATCGTTCCTATCACTCGGATAGACTTTGATCTTTTCAAGAGCTTGCAGATAGCGAGTGAAATGGGAGAGATAGTACCAGCGCATAGTGTTAATGTATGCCTGCGTAATCTCTCCCGTAAGCTGAGGGTGAGCTCGGGAAATATAACTGTACAGGTCCTTGAACTTGACCAAGCGTTGCTGCTGGATAATTTGAGCATTGATGTTCGGAGAACGCAATGCTCTGATCTGGGACACTAGGTAGTCCCTGATCCTTTCCACTGCCTGTCACTCTCGTCAGCACGGACTCGAAGTCCGGGTCCGTAGAATGATACTGACTTTGTTCTTGATATCATTCAAAAGCGGCCGCACGTCTTCAATTGCTTTTGTGCTGCTGCTACCAGAAACCTTGGCTTCTATACTCGTCATGCGTGCTTCGATCTCATTCAGAGCTTTGACCCAATTCTCGTCAATGGGTCCTTCGGCAATCAATCGAACAGCTCTCGGTGAAATACTGATTTCCTCAACGGCAGGTCCAAGAAGTTGCTCTACTTTGCGCCGGTTCTCCAGCATCGCGTTCAACTGTACAGACCGAGTCTGGAGCGTCTCTATCTCAGCCGAAACAGCACCGAGTTCACTTTGGAAGTCACTCAGATACATCTCAACTGATTTTGAGACATCATCACAGCTTGTGATGGCAGCATGTAATTCCTGATACTTATCTCTTTCCTTTTCAAATTGCTGGAGCGTTTGTGCACTGACATCGGTAGGGGTAGCTCTCCGTGGCTCGCCTACTTGAGATACGAACTCCTCAAGACTAAGGCCACCGAAGTCTATCGACTCAACCAAGTGCAACGGCTTTGCTTCGGGGGCTGACGTTGTCGGACACTCATTTGTCTCTATGTCACCCTTCTGCTTTCCAATAATGCCCCTCAACACCTCGAGCGGATCAGCTACATCGGAAGGACGGGACCTTGCAGCGCCTTGTTTGAGAACCGAGCCATTGACTCCGCGTGCGGTTGCCGGCAGAGAGGTGGTCGAGTCACTTGGTGTCAGCAGAACGGATAACGAGGAGCCTTGCCGGTTCTGGCTCGGACGGCTGTTCGGTGGAGCAGGCGACAGGAGGGAGGAAGATCGCCGGGGAGCGGGTGAATTGCTGCGACTATCGAAAGGGACACCGGAGGGGGTGGAGTGGCCTGATATGCGATCAAGCCACATCTTGGGAAGCAGGCACGGAAGAGCGTGCGGATATCGAGAAGCTCACAGCCCTCATTGAGGTCGAGAGAAGGTTGTCTGCGGAGTTTATAGATCTATGCCCGGCAAGCTCTCCGCAACTGGAGGCATGCAATGCAATTGACTTCTGATATTTTCAGCAACTCAGTCAATTCAGAGATGACAGCTTATAGACATAGAGGCATATCTCAACCGTCTCTCCAAGATTAGAGGACTGACAAGCCCAGCATACTACACCGTCTGTTATCAAGCTTCCTATCACCAGCTGTTTATGGGCAGGTCGAGATGCTACAGCTGGGGCCAGAGACCACAAGTGCAGCGTGTCCGAGGCTAAACCGCTTTAGGGACTAGCGACCCAAGTAACCCCCGCCACAACAAAACTGCCATTTTTTTCGCAGGCGATTTGTCGATTTCTTTTCGCCCGTTCCTCCACCGTCTCCTCTAAACCCTCTCGAAGAAACTTTTTCCTCTTCCCTTTCTTCTCTCCTATCCCCCTCTATCTTAAAAGAAAAACAAATCAGGTTTCGTCCTGTTCTACTCTCATTAATCCTCCATTCTCATTCACCCTTATACACATTCACCATGGCTGACGAGGTATGACTTAGTCTTGATTCACTGTGTACTTGCTGCGTTTCTACTCTCAGGCTGCCCCGCATCCATGCACATGTCCCCTCTTCTGCTTCATACCTCAAACCATCGAGCGACCAAGCAACGACTGTTTTTTTTCAACTGCCATTTTTATTCAAACTGGACACTATCAACTGACCTTTATTTCTTTTCAGCATGAGACCTTCGAGTCCGCCGACGCTGGTGCGTCCGCGACTTACCCCATGCAGTGCTCCGCTCTGAGAAAGAACGGTCACGTTGTCATCAAGGGTCGTCCCTGCAAGATCGTTGATATGTCTACCTCCAAGACTGGCAAGCACGGTCACGCCAAGGTTCACATCGTCGCTCTCGATATCTTCACCGGCAAGAAGCTGGAAGATCTCTCTCCCTCCACCCACAACATGGACGTTCCCAACGTCACCCGTCGTGAATACCAGCTCGTAAGTCGACCTGCCAAAGCCAAGTCAATCTCCACCTCCAGATGACTTACTGATCTGCTTTGCAGCTTGATGTCACTGACGACGGTTTCCTCTCCCTCATGGACGAGGCCGGTAACACCAAGGACGACGTCAAACTCCCCGAGGGTGAGATTGGTGACAAGATCCAGAAGATGTTCACCGATGAGGGCAAGGACTGCAGTAAGTGCCCAGCATTGCGCCTTGAGTCTTGAATTGTTGTACTAACACGGATCACCCTAGACGTCACCATCCTCACTGCCATGGGCGAGCAGGCCTGCATGGATGTCAAGGAGGCTCCCAAATAAATGATCCCGACACTTATGGACCTCTTCTTGCTCCGTCGGCCACTTTGTGTCCAAGGGTCTCCTGTTTTATGTGTATGTCCTTTAGCTCATGGATGATGCGACGTTTTGGGCGATTTATGGCATGTCTGTTGCTTGACTTATGTCCGCCAATATAGCCTTGGATGTACGCTGCACCAGCGAAAGGAATTGCTTAAAGTTGACAGCATCACGTGCCCTCTGCCAGGAAGCGGTCCTACTCTTACGATAGTTTGACGATCAAAAAATTTACAAGCCTAGTTAGGACAATCATTTTGATAAAGCGTAGATCTATAGTTTTACCTTTGCGGGTTCAAGCTATCATTCTCTGTGGGGGCTGTAGGGCGGACATTATTGTTTAGATATTTCTGGGTTGTCAAATCAAATGCTTTGACCAGTTGACGAAGATTTGAAGTATCAAAAATTCTTTTCTGGTATAAGCACCTATGGACCGAACCACACCCTGAGAATTTCTCCCTCTACTCTTCCACCCCACCGGACCATTCAAGAATGAACACAGCCGCCCTGGATGGAGTATACCACCCGAGGGGTTTGTGGGCAGGACGGGTGCCGTGAAACTCGATATTATCTAGACAACGGTCTCTGGTTTTGCAGGCGGGGTCATCAGCAGGAGGTACGGCCAAATCAGCCCAACCCCGCCTTCTTTGACGCATCACGCGAAAGCTTTCTAAGTTCTGACGCTTAATTTTTATTGCAGGGCTTACAAGTGGAGGAAGATCCCGATGATTTCGGCACGCAGGGAAAGACTAGTCGTGTAAAGAAGGCTGTAGCTGAAAAGGGCCATAAGAGTGAGCATCCGATAACCATGTTTGAGAAGATTGTACATTTGCTAAGGATGTGATAGCGTATCGTGGTCGACAGGCATACACCCTATTCTTGCAGATTTATCAATTGATTCTGTGGAAGCAATGTCACGCCTTAGTCCAAGGACGAGGCTTTCCAGCGCAGCTTGAGGTGAGTGGAAGTACCTATGCTTCGCCCAGCCATCATACTTGATAACAGCGCCTGACTGTTGAGATTCAGGTCGTGGTCCGAGATCTTTGGGCCCTTCGTTTGGAAAGCCTGTCGGAGCGACTCAACGACCCTGCTGAAGATGATAGAGAACCTGAACTCTTCAGTTCACAGCCTGCCACGACGCTTGATGAGCCCGAGGGAACATTCAAGCTTAGTGGGCGAGCGGCTCAATGGCCCAGACTGATTGACACAATCGGGCTGTGTTATTTGGGCTGCCTGCTCATGAGGCTCCCAGTCACCATTGGAGAATTTCATCGGTAAAGCTTCTTTACAGTTCATAAGACGAGAATGAACATCTGACTCTCAACAGGATGCTTATGCGAGAAGATATTCCTTTCATTAGGGTCCTCAGATTAATCCCACGGGACATGAGAGATAAATTACCCCAGGAGTACATCGCTCTGTTGGAGACTACTGTAAGCTTCTACCTTTATGACGCCGACTCTATCAATTCTGACCCTTCAATAGAGATTGATAAAGGCTGAGCATCTTCACAAAGCGACCTTGGAGCTATCGCTCTTGTATCACAACAAGTTTGGCGTTCAATTCCCGGCGTTGAACACACCGGCCGTTTTATATCGCTATATCAAACGTCTCGCGCTCCCAGGTATGAATTGTTCACGCTTGATAATTCTAGTTTGCAATCTTCTAACCTTCATACAGTCGAGGTATATCCCGCTGTTAAAAGGCTACAAAGACTTGTGGGCTTCACATTTGAGTTTCCAACGAACATCCCCGGTAGAAGTCGGCCAATTCACCTGCCTGAAGTGCAGCTCATTACGCTTATTGTCATTTCTACTAAACTGTTCTTTCCATTTGATGATATCAAGAGGTATCCCGTATCCACACGGGAACCCAGCGCACAGGTGCTTGACTGGGAGCTTTGGGAACAAGTTCAAAGACACTTCGACAGACGAGAAACGGCTGGGGGCAGGATCGGAAAGGGAAATGAGGTACTCGTCACTGAGAAAGACGTCTTCAACATGACTCCCGCCCAATTGGATGAATACATGGACTGGTACGAAACCAGTTGGCTTGATCACAGCAGAGGTAAAGTGGCCTTGCAACTCCGTCCTGCGACGTTTGACGAACGCTAATCCCCCAAAGTGTCGAACCCGTTAGCAGAGTTCTTCCCGGTTGCTCCGACGGCCTCGGAAGGCCAGACTGTTAGCGACTCCACAGAAGAAGAAGATGAAGCTATGCATGCAATGCTGCAGACAGCTACGAGCCAACTGAAACCAAGAAAGACTATTTCTGATCCTAAGGCCGACGTGGCTCGCCCGGGTTCATTGTATCCGCGTTACCGGACCGAGTCCGAACTGCCAGAGATGGCAAGGTTCTTTTACGAAACTGCTGCTAAAGTAGCAGGTGTCTCTTTGTCCACACTCGTTAGAGCTGTATCGCAGACTGAGACCATAATCTCTCGGTGGTCGGACGATAAGAGGAGGATTGAGCACCATGGAGATCCTACGGAAATGGACGTGACTGATGAAGCAGGCACTGAAGATATGGAAGCCATGGAGGATGAGGATATGTCTGGGTTGAGTGACGAGTCCTAACTGGAGATACGCTAGATTAGCAAATCCTAGCTAAGTATTGAAGTCATATTGTGCCTCAGGCACTTAACAGGAAACGGGAGTGATTTTTGAAGGAAGACCATCAGTGAGTCGAACTACGACAAATTCCAGTCAGACTGAAAATTCGATGAGCATCCAGCAACGTAAACTGGTTCTAGGTATGTAGTTGGACGTTCCATGTATGGAAATGCGGAGATAACCCGAAACGGGAAAGTGGCACCTGCCGACCGGCGGCAACTAAAGGTGATGACGAAAATAGCCATTAGGGCTTAGGGTATCACGGCGTCGGTCCACCCAGGCTAAGCGAGAAATCCTCAAATTGACATTGCGTCCTACGAACGAGTATACAGCGATTGTCAGCCAGCAACAACGAAAAATCGCAACCAGTACGTACAGCATCATGTTCTCCTACGCTATATCTTTGATCTATGGATTACGAGCTAACATAACCTTTTTTCTGCGATTTTACAGTGCAGATGTAGGTCTTCCTGAGCCGTTCGGACCAACCCAGTGCCCATTTACCCAACCTCATCCCATCCATCGACTCGATATACGCGGAACATCCGGAAAAGCCATGACTGACAAATTTCGATCAATAGTTTCGTCAAGACCCTGACGGGTAAGACCATTACCCTCGACGTCGAGTCGAGCGACACCATCGACAACGTCAAGGCCAAGATCCAGGACAAGGAGGGTATCCCCCCTGACCAGCAGCGCCTGATCTTCGCCGGTAAGCAGCTTGAGGATGGCCGCACCCTGAGCGACTACAACATCCAGAAGGTACGCGAATTCTCTATCGGACGACGATTTGGTTTCGTTTCATTATGCGCATGGGATACTGTTGGATGATGCGGGTTTTTCGCTGGATTGCTGGACTTGGTTTCCGGATCCTCCGGCTGGAAGCGTCTGCGCTAGGGGATGACTGGACTGAATGGAAGATATACGGTTATTGAGAAGGATGTGTTTTGCTGACCGGATGCTTTTTGCACATATTTAGGAGTCCACTCTCCACCTGGTCCTCCGTCTGCGTGGTGGTATCATTGAACCCTCCCTTAAGGCTCTCGCTTCCAAGTACAACTGCGAGAAGTCCATCTGCCGCAAGTGCTACGTACGTCTTTGTCCCGATCGCTCGACCAGACTTGTGACCCATTACAGGGGACGCTCGCCTTGGAAGTCTTTGCTAACTCGATCCCTGGATAGGCCCGTCTTCCTCCCCGTGCCACCAACTGCCGTAAGAAGAAGTGCGGTCACACCAACCAGCTGCGCCCCAAGAAGAAGCTCAAGTAAACGATTTCTATCTTGTTGCGGTTTTTCCGCGTTGCTGGGGGAAAGAGATGCTCGGAGCTATGACGTGGTTGCTGCATGGGAGGTTTTAAAAGGCGTTGGAATGATGAAACATTATAGCCGAAGTCACATATTTTAGTTGACCCCTCTCGAAAGAAGTTGCGCAATCGAACATCTGTAAAATTCAATCTTGCTCTCTCGATCCTATGCCACGGGAAATAGAGTGCGTTCAAAAAGAAACCATGCAGAGATATATGAGACTTGAGGTACAGAAAACACCGGGTGAATGACGTTGTGCTGCCTGAGCCAACATCGTGCCTCAAAAGACACCTGGTAAACATAGTAAATCGAACACATTCGGCCCTCTCACATCACAACATCCGTCGCTTGTCGTCATGGTCGTCATCATCGTGGTCCTTGTTCTTCTTGGAAACGGGGCTTGCGTGCCTGTACCTCGTCAGTAAAACGGCCAGTAATCCAAAAGAACCAGACTTACGCAAAGAACAAGATCTTGATAGCAATCGCGAAACCCGCATGGAGAACAATGACCAAGATCAAGAGAATCTTGCTCGTCTTCGCATCCGTAGCACTCAAAACCGGGTACAAATTCCGAAGCAGGAAGAAAACCGTCCAGCCGAAGCCAACACCCACAAGCGCCCAGTTGAGCGCCGTGAGAGGGCTCCAGCTCACCAGCGCAATAGCGATCCAAACCAGATTGGAATAACCGTACAACGCCCAGCATTCGATCAAGTCCGCGGTGGAGCTACCGAACCAGCGCAACGCACCCCACAGAGCGATGGGGATGACGCCCGTGTACCCGTACACCAACCCAGCGGCACCCGAGAGAAGCGTGAAATCGTACTCGAAATGCTTGTCGTTGTGGTTTGAGAGCCATTGCGAGATCGTGCCAGTTAGAAACAGGATGACGACTACCGTCGTTGCGATCCAGAACGGCCCGTACAGGTCCGCGTTCCCTTCCAGGACATCGAGAAAGTTGGTGCGTGGGTACAGCGCCGACACGCATCGCCGGAGCACCTCGTTTGTATCGACGTCGAAGAACTGCGAGTAGTAGTGGAAGGACCACCAGGCGTGTTTGGAGGGCGTGCCGCCGGGGGATCTGTCGCGGCCGCGGGAGGTACCTGCGCCGAGGAAAGGAGCGGAGTCTTGCTGGACTTTTGCGCTTCGGGGGTCGTTTTCAAAGTCTGTTGATTGAAGATATAACAATCAGTGCTTGAAAGATGACAAAGTAGAGCCGCTTGTGAATTCGCCTTACTGGATGGGTGAAATTCGAGGTCTTCCTGGAGGTCGGTATGACCGAGGTCGCCCTAGAGCAACATTAGACCAAGTGTTCGCTAAGACAAGCATTGTAAAACAATATTTTACCTCAGCATCGACATCTACAACCACATCATAGCCCCGGTTCGCCATATCGGCTTCCTGTTTTTATAAAGAGCTGTTGTTGGTCACGAAGGGAGAGGTGCACGAAATTAGAGTACACATCAGCTGTCAGGGTCGCTGCTGATAAAGCCACACACCAGCCACTAGCTACTGTGGAGACACCTACGTATGCGAAATTTGCTAAACTCCGACATTATGCATCCTAGTCTTGGATGTGGAACAGTAGAATTGGCCTTTGACTGATTGATTTCCGGCAAGATTTTTTTGATTAATGGTACTATTGTACATACTCGCGCATTTTCACGGTATTGACGCTCTTCATGTCTCCACATCTACTGTATCTCGTTGGCACCATACTCAAAGCGCAGTCATATTGAGATCATAGGAAGCCACTTGCGGAAAGTCGTTTTCAATCCAGCGAAAAACGACCATAGGGGCGTATCGAACCCTTTCTTTCGGATCCAGATAGACATGGCTCCAATGAAGATAGCGACTGCCACCGACCCGACCGTCCTCCTGTGATGCCACAAGAAGGTGAGGGCCTTTTCTCTTAGTTCCTCGTTATGCAGTTGTCGTACCTGTTTCTCGAGGAGTCGTATCGCTTCGTCTCTGGTTTGCTTATTGAATGGGTCCCGCGAAGATTTGAGCACACTGTGCTGAGAGATCCTCTTCCACGCCCCGAAAGGCAAAGACTCAGGTGGGTAATCATTGAACAGTTGCATAGCGCTCGATATGAGGCTATCCAGATCTAGAGGCTGTGGTAGTTTTGAAAGAGTAAAGTGCAACATCTCAGGTTCGTCTGCAGGAATCTCCAGCAGCTCCTTCTTGCGTGAGAGTATGATCGCTGCGAAGAGGTAGATAGACACGACAGGCTCCGTAGCCAAGAGGAAGTCAAACAGCCGTGCAATGTCGCTGTACTCCTGGATATCATGGGCATACAATGTAAGTGTTGCGGCAAGGGCAAAGAATGGTTTTATGCCTCCGAGGTGCTCCCGCAAGGCCGAATCAGCTTTCTCGATAATCGCTGGAATAAGCTGCAAATGCTTCAGCGCAGGGGAGAGAGACGGCAGCATATAGTCCCTAATTCTGAATAAGGAGATATTGGTCACAGCTGGGGCAGCCTCCTTTTCACCAAGCACCAGAAGTAGTACTTGCACGATATCATGGTACCCCTGGAAGTAACAAAGCATAGGGTATTTCCGAAGTACTCCCCTGATGAGAGTCGATAATTCGTCCTTCTTCACCAACAATTCATCCTCAGCGCCTATAAATATGTTCAGCCAGTGATAGAGAGAATTTGCAGGTCCCGAGAGTTGTACATTGAGGATAGTACACAAATGACCGATTTACGTCCAGTTGAACCTGGTCTTCATCTCCATGCGAAGGCAGGTCTTCCCAAGACGCGAAATCCGAGTCTTGTACATCTCTGTCGCTTCGAAGAAAAATGGGCCCTAATTTGATGTTACCGAAATATTTTCTATCGGTTCATTAGAAACTTACAGGCTGATCGCCTGAGGTCATCGTTCAAGAGACCTCCGTGTGAGATCGCATACGAGACGAGGGCATCTAAATCACGTAAATCGCATGCATTTCGAATCGCTTCCTCTTTCTTGGACCGAGCGATATACTCGTTGTCTGGGTCCAACAACTTCTCTGGGGCATCGTTTCTAGGTATTTCTCGTTTTCCGTCCAACGTCCCTTCTGGCTGCGTGGTGAAAGAGTCATCCATTTTGGCAAATGGATGGATGAAAGCTCGCTCCTTAACGCGAAGCACCAAATCTCATCTCCCAACAGATTGAGATAGGCCTGTGGCAGCAAATGCCTGCCAAGGGCACTCTTTGCGTAGTCTCCTCTCTGGAGGATTATGACAGGCTGGGTATTACGCAATAAAGATGAGCCTCCTGAATTGGAAACGAAACATGATCATAAGCGAGGATATTTACTTTGGTAATTCTTGGATAACACCAGCGATCCGTCTATAGGATGATGAACAGCACCAAGCGCGCATCTGAAGGTAGTAATCAAAGTAGCTCCGAGTCTCTTAAGTTGATGCGCACAGCCAGAAACGGCAAACCTGCCAGCGGCCTCAGGCCGCCATCACCGGATGTCCCGTGATTTGGTTGAACCATCCACCGCCCAAAGATGGTAAGGGAACATTTACATACTGCTAGGGGTTTGACGAGAGTAGAACCATCATTCTCCTATTAGATCTCCATCTAAGGAGATATCGGATTGTTTTCAGTCTATGCCATGACGAGTTGGACTGTGGCTTAGCTGTGGGAGGAGCAGAAACGCCGGGTTCCTCCGTACTAGCCACAATAGTGGTGCAACTACAAGGAGGGGCATAGAATAAGATACTGACTATTCTTCGGCAAATTAATAGTGGCAATTGAATTGCGAGCATCATCTGAGTCACAGTTGCAGTCCCTTGATAGGGCGTCTGTCAGACTTTCCTGGTTGGTTTCAACGTTCTGACTTAGGATCCGAAAGTGAAAGTGAAAGTGAAAGTGAAGGTATTATTGCAAAACACATATAGTTCTGCTATGCTGTAAGTGATTTTCCCCGTCACTTATTGCCCCTCCTCACCTGGCCGAAGTCTTACTGACTTGTCGCTCAGATAGGATAATCTATGTGGGCTGCTGCTTGGCGATGATTATTCTGCTCTATGACCAAAGTTATTGGCTTACTCCACAAGTTGCGAAATTGCCATACTGTGACTGCTCCAAGCTCCCCTAGCGGACTCAAAATGGGATCAGGCACTGAGACTACTCTGGCTCGTGAACAAAGGCGTCTACTTGACTTCTAAACTCTGTGCAAGACTTAGCTTTCCGTGAGAGTCTTCCATTCAACTTCATATTATTGACAGCGTCGTTGTCGCTCGAGATTTTGTCGGCTCGCCATGTCCCTTCCACTGTCTGGCCGAGGTTTTGATGCTTCTGGCAAGCGACAGGATATGGATCAAATGGATATAGAGCAAGAAGGACCATCAACTACGAAACCCATGGTTGGGTTGCTCTCACAGACCCTGGTCTCCAGCCCCATCATCCAATTGATTCTACCAGCGCGCTTGAGAAGCAAGCACCAAAATGACGTTGTTTTTGTTGGCGAAAGGCACATACAAATCAAAGAAGCGCTATCAGGCGTCCACTTGGAAGACGTCAATTCGAAATCTGACTTCGATGCCTACATCATGGCAGCGAAGGTCATCAATGTGAGCACAGAATTACCTTGGGAGGCCCAGATGAAGCTGGCAGCCAGCAAAGCAGCTGTCACGGATTTTGGATCGCGGCAAGAACTCCCACCACAGATACTGGTTCTCAGTCTTGCATCGAGAGAACTAGTCTTCCTTTATTTTTCGTCAACGAGCGGTCACTTCATTCACCATCACCGACCTTTACCGAATGATGTCAGTACATTCGAGAGATTTGGCCGGAACATCGCGGTGGAGCCGCGGTAAGTCTTATCTTCATAGTTGCAACCCCCCGCCTAATGGATTGAAAAAGGTCCCGTGCGGTAGCAGTTAGTGCTTCGGCCGATTATTTTGGAGTATTCATGTTGAAGAAGCCGCCTGTTCTCCAGTCACAGATGGCTTCGAGTCACTTGGATCCGATCACAGAGGTGAGCACCTCAATCCAGCGCTCGCTATTCATCCCGGATTCTCACCGCAGCACCACTTCTATAGGAACGCTTCTTCCGGGTAGAAGGCGACATCCTGTTCATGGAGTTTTTGTACCCGAAAGCCGAAGATGGTGATAAAATCATCCTGCTGCTCTTGGTCTCACAGAATCAGGTGACGCAAGCTATCTGCTATGAATGGCACGCAGACGAGACGATACGACAAGCTTCTCCGAGAATTACAAAGAGGTTCCTTCCTCCTGAAGACACGTTACCCACGATGTTGATTCCATTGACCAAGACATCCTCCTTTATGCTAATCACAACGACTTCAATGGCTGTCTACAAGAATAGGCTTGACCCACGAAGACAGCCCAGTCGATACCCTCTTCCTGTGCCTGATCGCGAATCTAAAAAAGCAGCCCTGTGGACGCGTTGGGCAAGGCCATTGCGCAATTGGTCATATAACCAGCGACACGACGATATTTACCTTTGCCGTGAGGATGGTAGGGTCTTTTACCTGGGGATCGGCAACGAAGGTGAACTGGAAAATCAAGCACATCTGGGACAACTCTGCTGCGACGTCGACGCTGCATTTGATATCCTCGATATTGGTCATGAAGGTGGAGACCTCCTTTTGGCCGCTGGGACCACAGGAGACGGCGGCCTTTTTGTTCAGAAGGCTCGCGACCAACCTCGATGTGTCCAAAAATTCATCAACTGGTCGCCAGTGACGGATTCCGTTATTGTAAGCTTTGACCAGGATTCATCGTCCTCAGACACAGCCAGAGACCGATTATTCGTGTGCTCCGCGTCCTCCTATGGGCGAGGTGCAATATTCGAACTTCGGCATGGCTTGGAGGCACAGATTGGCTTGGTCGTCTCCCTTGAAGACTTGTCAAGCACGAGGGATATTTGGACAATGTCGGATGACATAAATGGAGGTGTTTACATATTGATCTCCGATCCCGTCTCCTCTATTCTTCTGTATCTGTCTGCGGACTTCGGGGAAGAGATGTGTGCTATAGACGAAGCAGATTCTGGGTTAGACTTTAGTACCCAGACCTTGGCAGCCGGATGCACCAGCTCCGGCGTACTCGTCCAGATTACTGAGAAGGCGATTCTTCTCGGTACAGCCAATGAGTCTACTCTGAGGGCTCGCTTTGAGTTTGGCGCTGACCAAAGTGTTACTGTTGCTGCGGTCCACAGCTCGGCATCATTAATTGCGTCTGCTGTGCGAACACGACATGAGATGCAGCTCTCTCTCAGGAGTATTAACATTTCCCAGGACCAGTTTCACTTATCCGAGATTGGTCAGCCTTTACGATTACCCCATGAACCTGTCTCCATTCTCATTGAGGTTTTGGGCACCTTTACTCTCATATTTGTTGGCACTGGCAATGGGAAGGTCTTGATCTACAGCTTCGAAGACTCAACCATGCTCCTGTCAGAAGTTTCCATTGATGTGGAAAACGGGGAGGACCTATCGAAAGCGATCGAAAGTCTTGCTGTAGTCGCCATTGACACCGATGGACATTCCCAGAAGTACACAATACTCTGTGGGTTAAGGAGTGGTATTCTTGTCCCTTTTGAGATGACGTTAGGCCATGGTGACAAGAAATGTGCAATTGGTACGTTGCATCTGACTTTGAATCTCAGAGCTTCGCTAATAGGCATATTCTTTTTTTCTAGAGGTCAAACAAGCGAGCCCCCGACGAATTGGGAACACTTCTGTCAAGATACAAAGTAGGGGACACTTCGCTTTGTTGACCTGTGGACGTGGGTTCTGGCAGGCGTCGTGTTCACGGAAAGACGGCGTATTAGACCCTAACCTTCACTTGCAGAGGATATGGGTCACCGATCAAAATAACGTAAGACTACATTCCCATCTTCTAATCCCACTGCTTCTCCTGACATTTTGTAGCCTGCGTACCATCCAGGCAACGTCCACAGTTTCGCCATGGCAAAGATCATTGATCCAAACATCGATGGCGAATCCGACACCTTGTTCTGCATCGCCGACAGTCAGCTCTTGATTTGCACACTGGATCACGCAGCGAAGACAGTTCCTCGAAGGATTGATCTACCAGGAAGCGCAAGCAAGTTAGCTTATTCCAACTATCTGAGAAGCCTGATTGTCGCATACACGCGGGCCGAACTTGACACCGAATCTGATCCTATCAGAAGACTGGCTCGGCCTTTCATTGAGTTCGTGGAGCCGGATACACAACACGGGGTCTCAAAGGCCGTTGACGTCTCTGAAGACGGTTACTCGGCGTGGAGACCTCACGGAGCGGCTGGAGAGAAGATCAGTTGTATCTTGGAATGGACACCTAAGAAAGGCGATGAAGAATACCACTTCATTGTCATTGGAACAGCTAGAAAACAGCAGCAAGAACGGGGCCGAGTCATTTTTCTACAAGCTTCCCGCAGCTCGTCCGACTCCTCGAGGATTGAATGCTCCGTGAAATATATCCATAAATTTGAGAGTCCTGTTTATGCGATTGCTCCATACGGTGATTTCACATTGATGGTCTCCACGGGTCATGAGATCGTACCATTGGAGCCCAAGCTGTCACAGACACGTCGTGTTCGAGCAGCGAGGTACCCAATGCTTTCCCCAGCGATTTCCTTAAGCTGCCATGAACCTTATGTATACATGTCGACATCGAGGGAGTCGCTGATGGTGCTCAAATCCTCCGAAGACAAATTGCTGCTCCATGCTTACGATCGTCAGAAGCATGATGGACTCTCTCATATTCACATTGGTGGTGAGTTTAATTTGACAATCACCACTAGCCGAGGCGGCCGAGTCAGCATACTTTCAGAGAAGGGTATCACAGACAACGACAAGATGATGCCGGTTGCGCTGTGTGAGGCACATCTTCCCTCATCCGTGATGAAGCTCAGCTCAGGATCTAAACCATCCCCATTTTCTCGCTCACCCCAGGTGTACTATGGCACCGCTATGAACGGGATAGCATACCGCTTTTTAATCCTAGATGAGAAAGAGTGGCGCTTACTACGTCTACTTCAGAATCTCTGTATTAGAGATCCAATACTATGCCCTTTCACGCCCAAAAGGAAACGAAGACGCAACCCGGCGACGAATGGCATCGCAGAGCCCCAGCCCTCACACATGCACATCGATGGCGATATACTGAGTCGCCTCGCGATGCGTGGTTCGGATTATTTGACAAAAATGTTGACGACCCAGGACTTTGAAGACGCAGCCTTCCCAGAAAACGGCACTGCTCAAGCCACTCTGGAGCTATTCACTGAGCTGTCCAACAATCTGCTGGGAGAATCCCCTGACCAAGTCGAAAAGGTCATGAGATGGTTGGAGAAGGCCCTTCATGTGGAGTTCTGAATATGACACAGACAGCATATTCAATGCATCCAGCTAAGATCTTTCTTAAAAGGTCGGGAAGAGCGCGCTAATCGTCTTCTTGTGTATTAGTAGCAATGAAAGCATTCTCGTGATTCGATACATGGAGAGCATAGATAGCTTCATCGTAGTACCTTTAGAAGCCCTGAGTAGGTGAAAAATCGTATTAGTATTGGATAAAAGGAACTTCGAACTTTCAGACGCAAACCATAACTATTGCTCTGCTGGCTGTCATTGATGGTGGCGAGCAATGGCCAGTGTCGTGCCACCAACTGGCGGCGATTCGGCTCGCATAACAAGTGTCCCCACCAAACCAACCCAAAATTCTTATTATTTCCCCAAGAGCACCGACCGCCGCTCGAGTCTTATCAACCACCAGAAGAGGGGGGAAAATAGTGGTTCTCTGTGCCTTTCTCACCGTCTCTCTTTTTCATTGCTATCGTTGAGGAGATTTTTCAGGCCGGCCATTTTTTTCGCCGCCGCTCCTCTTGGTCAGATTCTATCGGTTGCCGCGGATCGCTGCCCGGAGACTTCGATATTGTTCGTGTGCCCGCCACAGCTCGTTTACGATTATTTGCAACAACAAAGAAAATCGCTTTTATACTAACTTCTGAGGTGTCTAGGTGATTTTATCGATCTATCGCATTCGCTACACCGATCGCTCCTATCATTGCACCTTAGAAAATGGCGCCAAAAAAGAAGGGAAACAGAAAGCAGGATGACGACTGGGAGGCCGAGCTGGGAGAAAGTATTGCGCCCGTCAGTGAGCAGCCTAAGGAGGAGACTCCTGCGGACGCCGCTCCCGAAGAGGACGGCATGGGTGGCGGTCTCCTCGCTGCTCTGAGAAAGAACAAGACCAAGAAGGCCAAGAAGGGCAAGCCGGTCAACGATTTCGTCGAGGGCGAGGATGCGACAGAGCAGGCGAACGGGGATGTCGATTTCGCCAGCAAGCAGCCCGAGGAAGGAACATTCGATGAGGAGGACGTTTTCGCCGGAAAGAAGAACCAGAAGCCTGCTAAGGCTACACCTCCGGCACCGGCTTCAGTTGAAGGAGATGGCGAGATCCGCGTGAAGAGTAAGAAGGAAAAGGAGAGGGAAAAGAAGGAAAGAGAGAAGCAGCGTAAGAGGGAGCAGGTATGTGTTGTGTCTGGTGCACTATTGTCCCCTGCAATTCCCGTGAGTACGGTGCTGATCTAGGATATCTGTATAGGCCTTAAAGAAGAAGGCTACTGCTCCTGAGCCGAAGGCCGAGCCTGCCAAGGCTGAGAAGAAAGAAGAGGCAGCTCCCGCCGCTGCTGCTCCCGCGCCTGCCGCCGCCGCTCCTGAGGCGCCTGGCAAGAAGAAGAAGCTCCCCGCCCATCTGGCCGCTCTTCAGAAGCAACAGGAGGCTCTCCGGAAACAACGTGAAGAGGAAGAGCGACGTTTAGCTGAAGAAAAGGCTGCGGAGGAAGAGAGACTGCGCCGTGAAGCCGAGGAAGAGAAGAAGAGGGAAGAAGCTCGCCAGCGGAAGAAGGAGAAGGAGAGGGAAAAGAAGGAGCAGCTCCGAAGAGAAGGAAAGCTTCTCACCAAGGCCCAGAGGGAAGCTAAGGAGCGCAATGAACTTCGCATGAAGCAGATGCTTGCAGCCGGTGTGGGTAAGGTTGCTGGTCTCGAGGAGCCAGGAATTGAGAAGAAGAAACCCGTGTACGACAACAGGAAGCGAAAGGGTCCCAAGAAGCAGGAGGAAGACCTTGAAGCTGCTGCTGCCCGTGCTCGCGCTCAACGTGAGGCTGAGGAGGAAAGACGCAAAAAGGAGGAAGAAGAGAAGAAGGCTAAAGCTGAGGCTGAGGCTGCCGCCGCCGCCGCTGCTGCTGCTGCTGCTGGTGACGAGGAGAGCGAAGTGGATGATTGGGAGAAGGCTGCTGAGGCCGAAGAAGACGTGAAGGACAGCTGGGATGCTCCTTCTGAGGATGAGGGAGAGAAGCCAGCCACGAACGGCGCAGCCAAGCCCGCAGCTGCACCCCAACAGAAAGCTGAGGTGCATGAGTCCGAATCCGAGGAAGATTCAGAGGATGATTCGGAATCTGAGTCGGAAGATGAGGAGAAGTCTGCCGCGCAGAAGGCTATCGCTCAACGAAAGGCCGAAGCTGCCGAGCGGAGGAAGAAACAGCATGAGGAAGCATTGGCCGCTCGTTCAAAGGACAATCTGCGTTCTCCTATTTGCTGTATTCTTGGACACGTCGATACCGGTAAAACCAAGTTACTGGATAAGATCCGACAGACGAACGTGCAAGAGGGTGAAGCTGGTGGTATTACGCAGCAGATTGGTGCTACATACTTCCCCGTGGACGCTTTGCGCCAGAAGACCGCTGTGGTGAACAAGGATGGCAAGTTCGAGTTCAAGATTCCCGGTTTGCTGGTCATCGATACGCCTGGTCACGAGTCTTTCTCCAACTTGCGTTCGAGAGGTTCATCTCTCTGTAATATCGCCATTCTGGTTGTCGATATCATGCACGGTCTCGAGCCTCAGACTTTGGAGTCCATGAGATTGCTTCGTGACCGCAAGACTCCTTTCATTGTGGCCCTGAACAAGATTGACCGTCTCTATGGCTGGAAGAAGATCGACAACAACGGCTTCCAGGACAGTTTGGCCATGCAGAGCAAGGGTGTTCAGAACGAATTCCGCACCCGTCTTGAGCGCACAAAGCTTCTCTTCGCCGAGCAAGGTTTCAACGCCGAGCTCTACTATGAGAACAAGTCCATGGCCCGCAATGTCTCCTTGGTTCCCACTTCCGCTCACACGGGTGAGGGTATTCCCGACATGTTGAAGTTGTTGACCACCCTGACTCAGGAGCGTATGACCAACTCGCTCATGTACCTGTCCGAAGTTGAGTGTACTGTTCTCGAGGTCAAGGTTATTGAGGGTCTTGGTACCACCATTGACGTTGTCCTTTCGAACGGTATTCTCCGTGAGGGTGATCGAATCGTGCTCTGCGGTCTAAACGGCCCCATAGCAACGAATATCCGAGCATTGCTGACGCCAGCTCCCCTTAAGGAACTTCGTCTCAAGTCGCAGTATGTTCACAACAAGGAGGTCAAGGCCGCTCTTGGTGTCAAGATTGCTGCCAACGACCTCGAGCATGCCATCGCCGGTTCGCGGTTGATGGTTGTTGGACCTGATGATGACGAGGAGGATATTGAGGAAGAAGTCATGTCCGATCTGGAGAACCTGCTGAGCAAGGTTTCCCGTGACCAGCGTGGTGTCAGTGTCCAGGCTTCTACCCTTGGTTCTCTCGAGGCTCTGCTCGAGTTCCTGCGTGTCTCCAAGATTCCTGTTGCCAACATCTCCATCGGTCCTGTCTACAAGCGTGATGTGATGATGTGTGGTACTATGTTGGAGAAGGCAAAAGAGTACGCTGTCATGCTTTGCTTCGACGTCAAGGTGGACAAGGAAGCGGCTGCATACGCAGAGGAAGTTGGCGTCAAAATCTTCACGGCCGACATTATCTACCACCTGTTTGATGACTTCACCAAGCACATGGCAGAGTTGACCGAGAAGAGAAAGGAAGAGAGCAAGCTGCTCGCTGTCTTCCCTTGCGTGCTCAGGCCCGTTGCTGTTTTCAACAAGAAGGACCCCATCGTCATTGGTCTGGATGTTATTGAAGGCAGCTTGAGAATGCACACGCCAATTTCCGCTGTGAAGACAAACCCCACTACAGGTGCTAAGGAGATCATCGAGCTCGGCAGAGTGTAAGTTTACCTCGACACTGATTTTTCGTTCCTATTGCTAATCAAGTCCATGCAGTGTGTCTATTGAGCGTGACCACAAGCCTATCCAGGTTTGCAAGAAGGGCCAACCTTCCGTCGCCGTCAAGATCGAAGGAGCCAACCAGCCTATGTACGGCCGTCAACTGGAAGAGAAGGACACCCTCTACTCGCACATTTCCCGCGCCAGTATCGACACCCTCAAGGAGTTCTACCGTTCCGACGTATCGATGGAGGAATGGGCTCTTATCAAGAAGCTCAAGCCCGTGTTTGACATTCCTTGATTCATTCGTCCAAGGTGTGGCGGTCTCCTGCTGGAAACCCACCATCCCCGCCTGCTCCTGATTGCCTGAGGTTATCAGGCATGGTGTGATGGCTACTACGGGCACAGACGGCACCAGTTTAGGTAGCGGGTTTCGGGGTGGTTCTTCAAAGGAGGCTACTTCGGATTTGTGAACAAATACCATTTGTCTCCTCGATCTCGGGAGGCTTTTATTTACCTCATCAACGAAGCGCAATGATCTCCGCAGGAAGAAAAAAAGTCAAAAAGTGCTAGACTTGCATGGAGAATGACGATGACTTTGATTGCCCAAAAACGATATATGCCTGTATATGACATGAGTTGATGTGGTCTGTACCTTGTCAGGTTTCTGTTATAATGATATTTCCTTTTTGAATGAATTCCCCTTTGGTTTATGTATCTTATCCTATATTACAGATAGGTTCAGCCGACATATTTTTCGAAGTAGATCGAGAACTCCTAGGGCCTACGTTGCAACAATATGCAATCTGTAGTCAATCGCAGTCTGGTAGACAGCTCACTATATACAGTATCTTGAAATAACCTCAGGTACATCAACATCGCTACTCTACTCCTACATACCACACCCTACTCATGTTCAGGTCCCTCCCACTTCTCCACTCTTCCGCCCTTATCAGCCCAATCCAACCAACTCCCCTCATACACACCGATTCTGTCCGGGTTATACCCGGCTTGCACCGCCAACTGCGCCGCCGTCTTCGCCCTCACGCCCGCCTTGCAGTAGAAAATGATATCACCCTCTTCCTGGACCCCAGGCTTCGGGTACCCAAAGCGTGTCTCGAACTCGTCCGGCGTCAGAAAGAGCGCGTCGGGCTGCGAGGCTAGCGGGACGGCTACGGCGGTGGGGATGATGCCGGTGGAGGTGAGTTCGGCCGGCTCGCGGACGTCAACAAGGATGAGTTTCTTCTGCGGGCTTGCTGGGGGTGATGGGGGTCCGGTAGGGTCGGATGGGAGGGCGGCGTTGATCTGTAGAAGTCATCGTTAGCATTCAACCGGTTGTCGAGGTAGGGGAGGACAGGGCATACGTCTTCGAACTTCCAGCTTCGGGGCGGCTTGGTCGTGTAGTGGTTGATGCGGCGGATGGTCTGCTGCCGGTGCGAGAGGCACTGCTTGATATTGCTCGATGCGAGCGCGAGCCTTGCGCGTTGGGGCCTCGGCGCTGTTGAGTAGCTTCGGGGGCGGGCTGGTGAGGACAGAAGGGTTGTTACGGCGGCGAGGGGGGTAACTTTCTGGGTGGTTTGCTTTGCAGTACGTGCTGCGAGAGCGGCGATGGGACGCCGGATTGAGAGTACCGAGGCCATGATTGTAGTGATCTATTGTCTTGAGATGGATGTCAGGGATGGTTCTCCGCGCTGATAAGAGAGGTCCACTGCGGGGTTTTCTCGCTTGAGGAATCTTGCATATCCAGAAGAGAAATCACAGAGAAATAAATTTAGGCTTACCAACAGACAATCAATTTACTCCTGAGCTGACTCACGCAGAAAGATATCCGGAAGTGCGAGATGAAGCTATCCGATTGATGTAGCTCGGCTCTCTTGCGGCGGCTCCGGTGGGTGATGTCAATCTTCCGCAAGATCACCGCCTACCGCTTCAGACCCAGCATCTTCCTCGGCTCAATGAATGGTTGTAGTAGGATCTTGGACCGCATTAGACTGGAAATTCGGTTTTTATATCATTGCTTCCTCGGGTGAGTGTTTAAATAGTTTCCCTTGCCGCTGTCTGGTGGCAGGATTCCTAGATGTTGTCGCCGTCGACGGCATTGGAATCGGCTTTATCGTTCAACCGAAGATATATATTGCATACCTTCAACACAACCGCTATCCAAGGCTACTAACACCGATGGACTGTGTATTTAGGACGAAAGGTGGGATGAGTGAACGTTTAAGCTGGTAGCAATACCAAACAGTAGGTTTAACTTAACTTGGAGACTACTTGTGCATTTGCTGCGAATTGAAACGATCAATGCCTGTCGCAGGTAGCTCGCCGCACAGCTCATGGTCCATGACGCCTATCGTGGCAAACATGCTAGTGAAATTGCCAATTGGTTTGAAAATGACAATCAGCATTGACTTGACAATAGAAACTCATACATATGTAGATATCTATTTACAACCAGATACGCCTTGAGCACAGGAGCTCCCGAAGCCAAACATGACAAGAACGAAGAATCTGGATAATTAATATTACTAAGTAGCATAATCTAAAGATGCCATTGCTTCAGCTTTCTGGCTGAAGCAGACGATTCCGCATGAATCGCGTCATATCATATACCTTCGGACTCCTTGAGCCCTGGGATAAGCATGGTTCGTCAAGAAGAAATGCCAAACATATCCATTCCCGGCATTCTTCCGCAATTTGATAGACCCAGTGACTTTGTATGGAATAATAGAACAATTGAATGGAAGGAAGATGCCCTCATCACTCTATCTCCAGGATAGAAACAGACGCCGGATGATCATCAATTGGCCGTTCATGCTTCGCAGAATGCCAGCGAATGCAGTGTTGCTTACGCCGTCGACCAAGACATCAAGGTTAGACCACTTGAGTGATGAGAGAGATCATGCACGGGGACGGAATGTGAGGTGGCAATCGTCCTAAAACAGAGTTAGAGTGCGTAGCAGATAGGTAAGTGTGTGAATATCATACCTCTGGGAAGATCGTGGCAAACACCTTGATGTCCTCAGACTGGGGAGTGGGAGCGTGCTCCCAATCCATTTCCAGACTGGCCTTTCCAATCATTGCAATCAAGTTCAGCTGAGCATATGTTTGACCCAGGCAGTAGTGGGGACCGGTGCCGAAAACCAAAAAGTTCTTGGCTTGCTTTTCGGCATCGCCGGTGATCCAGCGGTCCGGGTCGAAAGAGTCGGGATTGGGGTACGCCTCTGGGTCGTGGGTGGCAGGCCACACCGATGGAATGATCATGGAGCCCTTCGAGACGGTGATGGAGTCGGTAATGGGGAAATCCTTCTTGACCAAATAGGGAACCATGATAACGGGCGGGCGGTAACGCAGAGTCTCCCTGACGACAGCACGAGTGTACTTCATCTCGTCGACGAGATCCATGGTGAGAGGAGCGTTGATATTGCCGTTGCGCACGCGCAAGTTCTCTTCCCGAATCTTCTCAAGAACGTCGGGACGATCGGCCACGAGTTGGAACAACCAGGTGCAAGCCGCACTGGTGGCGTCTTGCGAGGCGAACAACAAAGTGAAAACAGTCTGGGCGATCTCGTAGTCGGTGAACTCACGTAGCAAGTGAGAAGGCTTCTCAGAATCTTCCACAGGGAGTCCCTTGGCAATCTTCTCGTTGTATTTGGCGGAATCCTGCTGTGCCTTGACCCATGCGTCCATGATACAGGTGACCTCACCACCAGCAGCCATATGAGCCTTGCTCTTGGCAGCACAGTTGGAAAACTCCTCGAGAACCATATCCGACGCCTTCTTTCCGTACCAGGCCTTGGTGAAGGGGAGGATGAAAGGGAAGTTGACCAGCTCCAAAGCGGCCGTAATCATGTAGTAGTCATCCGCAATCTTCTTGATGGCCGCGTCAGTCATATAGTGGCCGACGAAGGTGCGGCAAGAGACCGCACACATGAGCTCACGGAACTCGGGCATCCAAGGCTCGGGCTTGTAATCGTTGGCCTTGGACTTCTCCAGGAAATGCTTGTAGTACTTGTTGTAACATTCTTCCATAACGGGGAGGTAGGAAGACAGAGCCGAGCGGGTGAAGAGACCGTTCAATCCCTTTCGGAATTCAACGTGCTCCTTGCCATCCAGAAACACCCAGTTATCCGGGCCGAGCAGCTTATGCGCGATGTCTACCACGCAAGGCTTGACATAGGCAGGCGAATTAAAGATCTTACGCGACATGTCGCGACTGGACGCAATGACGACGAACCTACAAGGCGAAGCTGTCAGAAACAAGCCCAAGAAATGGAGAGGTAAGTAATTCTCCGTTCAGGGTGATATCTTACTTGTGGAAGACGGAAACGCAGCTCAACTCGCCGCTGTCCCATTTTGCCTTGTATTCGTGAAACTTGGGGTTCACAGACTGGAGGAAAGGTCCCATGAAAGGCAGTTTGAAGGCTGGCCCAACAAGGGAGCCCTTGAGATAAAAGTATCGCACTGTATCCGGAGAAAATCAGTCATTTTGTCCCAGGATATCATGCGCCCGTCTCGTTGCAACAGAGACGGATCGGGTCCTGCTTACGCTGGTCATAGATAACAGCTGCGAAGAACAAAGTCGCCAGAGCCTTCCAGAAAGTGAAACCATTGAGAACTGCAGAGAGAGCGTCTGCGTTGTAGAAGAGCTGAGGAGAGATTGTGGCATCAGCCGAAGGGGAGACAAAGCTCCCGTTGACGTTGGCCATGTCGAATAGCACGCGGTATAGGAAGGATGGAAGAGGGAGATTGGCTTCACACCCAAAAATTCAGGGAGGTGCAGTCCTCATAAATTATTATTAATAAATCCGCGGGAGGGGAAAAAAGAATCCCATTTTATTTTATGCTAGGGAAATTAGACGCCGCGGATAGGACGGTTCCCGGTACGGCGAGGCCTAAGCGACCAGATATGCAGTTTCCTTTGAACGAGTCCTATATCTTGGTACGGAGTAGGCTACCTAGAAGCGATTGAAAATATGAAAATTACGGAAAGGACCTAACGGGGTACGTCGTGTGAATCATTATCCTCATCGATAAAAGGTCGCGTTCCAAAGCGAGGCCGTCAGGATCCAAACCACCATGCTTTTGCCATTTTACTTTTTTTGCTTTACCCCTGAGACCGTAAATGATCCGCAAACCAATCATAAAATACGATGTCTGTGTGACCGGAAGCCACAGTCCCCATTCCGTTGGCGTATCACGCCAAGCCGATGGGTTTTTAAGGGAACCAATAGCACCATAATGGCGCAGCGCATAGGTATCGTATTTCATATCTGTACGTAGATAGTACGGAGGTACTGCGACTACTGGAATAAGCTACACATATGAAATGCGGAGGTCCGGTAACACTAGGTATGCCCTTGACCCTGCTTATTCGCTCTCTGCAACTTTGCGAGTATATCCACATCGCAAGTTTGGCAGGGAAAATCTGAGAGTCTTGACATGGATGGCCCCTCAGCGCCCTTTGAGTTGACATAACGGGCTAGAGCAAGTGCCACAGATACTCATAGTGAAGTAAAAACAGTCCAAATCATGATTGAGTTGCATTGAAATCCACCTCAAACTAGCAAAGCTTATCTAAGTAAATAGTAACTGGAGATCAATAGATTTGACGAGGGCAAGGCTGTTCGAGAAGCATAACCATTGTTCGAAGCTCCCAATAAACGTAGATTGACTTGACGAACATCCAACAGTAAGTCCTTTACGATACACATCAATAAATACCGGAATGTACTGACCTAAGTACCGATAAAAATCACCCTTAAATGCAAGAATGAGTCAGGTGCAAGGCTTCCCGTAGAAGCTTGCCGTATCTACTTAGTCGGGTAGTACAGCCAGGAGTTTTTGTCCAATCGACACTCATGCAATAGCCATGAAATTGGTCCGGTGGAATCCGCTTCTAGGCCCTTGCAGAAGGAGTATTCGGGGCCTCTATTCGAGTGATCTTATCACCAGGTTCCATGTCCAATTTGACACCTGATCCGGCTGGTACGTTTCCGGGGCACGTGCCCATCAGATCGCTTCTCTTCATAGGGGACTACTTCAAATACACCTAAGGCATCCGCCCAGAGTCTCAGGGATCTACTGTAATTTTCCGGGGCAGTAATACATGGGAAGTGATAAAAGTAACATCGTTACTTCATACGGCAGATTTTCTCGACATCCATGATAGCATCTCATCTCAGCATTGGTCGCTGCATGGGCTTCATCATTTCAAATACTCTCATAGCAGTGATGACTACGCAAATAATATCGAGGTTTTCTTCTAAGCACCGGTGTTCAAGTGTCCAAGTAAACAACGATATGCAGCAGGTGAGCCCTTATATCAGCGCCCAAACCCAAACCAGCCACGTCGTCCTCCCTTCTTTTCCTCTGCTCCTGTTTCCATGTCGGCCTGGGCCTCTTCCTGAGCGTGCGCACCTTCTCGAGGATAGTCGATGTAATTCCATGCCACATCGAGGAACAGTGGCTTGACCGGAATGGGCTGCATTTTAGGCGGATAGGGGACGAGGTTACTCAAATCCACTCTATCACCGGAAAACTCGTGCAGGCGCTCTATCACCGGGCGCTGGTTTCCTGTCTGAGATCCTTCGGCTGCCATCTTCTCCAAAGTGACGAGACCCCGGTACTGTGCCACAAGACCTTGCAAAATCGACCCGAGAGCTTGAACCTGGCTGCGCGAGACATCCAGCCTTAAAGGCTCGTTTGACAATTGAGACGACTGGTCAGACACTGTCGACTGGGCGGTGAGCTGCAGTGCTTGCGAGTAGAGCGCAAGAGCGTTCTTCGAGTTCCCAAGGTAGCAATGAGACCGCGCAATAGACAAACATCTGTGGCATTGTCAGTTAGCTTGAATTGTAACGGCCAGCAAAACTGGACATTCATACCTTAAAGCACGGAAGTAGCAGCGTTTCGCTTCCAGCTCTTGCACAAATGTGGAGTCCGCAGCAACACCAGGTAACTCCAGGATGAAATCGATGCTCTGCAAAATAGAGTCGTATAGCACGACCTTTTCGCGTAGCCTTGTCAACTTCTTCCCAGTCGACTCCACCCGACTCGCGCGCTTTCCCCGTTTGAGGCCCTCGGCGTTGTCAGTTTCAGAGGTCATGCCATCGTTAGGACCGCACAAAACTCGGTTACGTCCGATTCTCCATCCCACCAAGGCATAGTTGACCGCGGTACGAGTGATTTGCAAGCCTTGCATTCTCTTATCGCTAGGCTCCACCCCTTCATTAGCTAAATCATCGATGGCAGTCTTAGTAGCGTCGACTGCGTCCTGGCTGGCAATAATAACACTATCATAGGCGGCAGCTTGGTCTTTTGATGAAGCCGACTTCCCTTCCACATCTGCAAGCCAAGACTTGAGACGCGACTCTGCCGCAGCTGCAGAAGCAAGAGCCTGCGAGATTGCGGCATCTTCCAGAGCAACAGTCCGCGACCTCCAAGTGATACTCTCAGGTAGTTGCTGGATCTCTCCGTCGGCAGTCTTTCTCGTCCCTGCAATATCCTCCTTGAGACAATCGGGATCCACTCTTTCCACTTCGGACCTGATGTTTGCATCGGATGGGAAGTACTGGATCGCTAAAGAGGACAGAGGCCTTGATCGGGGAAGCTTCATCTGATAGGCTGCATATCTGATACTGGGATCAATAGTGCCAGTGAGAAGATCCCGGAATGCATCTTTTCTGTCCTCTCGGCCAAGAGTCGTATAGATTATCCTCGAGACAGCATAGCTCTGAATGCATTGTTCCCATTTCCGCTTCTCCAAATATAGGGCGCCCAAAAGTGAAGCAAGGTAAGCACGGGCTTCAAGGATGTCGGTATCAGTAGCACCGGAAGTTGCTTGGTCCTCTAACAGAAGGACCAATTGCTGAGAGTAGCCGGATGCCTTATTCAGACGAGACACAATATGACGCCTGGCCGAACCCGCAATTCCTTTCACTGAAGGGTCGGCTGAGTGCGTGGATTTCATGTGCATTGCTTGTGCCCAAGCTCGCTCAGAGCTGAGAAGAAGGACATGTACATATCTTGAGGGCAAATCCGTCAGTATGTTTCAGCACTATTTCTTTACCCACATCCAAGGATATTGGAGGACACATACGCCACATTGCTGCTAATATCCTCTGCACTGACGGGAGGTTTGGCAGTATATTTACGACCTTTAGGAGTAGTCTGACCGAGCTTCTTGCGGAGTTTGTGCAACCTCCGTGTTGTGTGCGCCCGGTAAGCGTTGTAGTCTCCGGCGAGGAGGACGTCCTCTCTCTGTTTGAAAATGAAATCCGTAATATCCATATTCACTGAAAGCAGGCCAACACACAAACAGAGGTGGTCGGGAATCGTGGTCGCTTGGAATCAATGTGGATAGTCCAAAGTGCGGGTTGGTAGTCGGGGCGTGGTCAGATCTCGGCCAAACGAATGCCCGGCTCATTTTGCGGGAACTTCTTTTGCTGCATAGTCCAAGCTCATATGCCCGCCCCGTCAAAATTTCGTCTGCTGCAAACATCACATCATATCACTCAAGAATACTCTAAACCGGCATTTTGATAGAACAGAATTGATTGAATTTACCGATAAAGAATTGACTTCTGCGGTTCTTCCGGGTCCGGTGCCTCGTCGGTGGCAATTTCTTGACCATCCTGCATCATTCGATCATTCTGGATACTATCGTTCAGCTGGGAGCTTTGCGAAGTCTCGATACATCGGCTGATTTTGTCGTTCTCTCGACTTCTTGAAGCGCTTGATCCAGATATGTTACGCTCTGCAGTTGAGAATCGGTGATTTCAGGGTTTGGCACGGCGACTTTTCAGGGTAATGCTGGAACGGGCTGCCGGATGCCTTGAGAACGCAGGTCGGCGTTTCTTCCGGGATTCCAAGGGGGCACTTCGGGGTCGGAGATCTTGGTATCCTCATTTTACGCAGAGCAATGGGACAACTGCGGAGGCTGTACATCTGTCACACTCGGCCTCCAAAACATCAGACCACCAGGATTCGATAACCTCTGTCTCTTGGAAGGCGAGGCAAGCAACTGCCGATACATGGACCCCTGTTCTCGATTTCCTGTATCCTCCACGTACCCAGGAATTTGCTGCGTCGCTCTTGTTACGCCCGCCCCGGAGACTTGCCCTACGACGCAAGAAGAAGCTGATACCTGCTCTCACCAGGGCTTACACATCGGTGGCTGCGAGCCTCTGCAAGCCCGTCGTTCCAGATAAACATGTGGTGGATATTGATGCGAAGAGGGCGAATCAACTCGAACGAATACGAGCCAAGGAAGAACTACGATCAATTCTCAATGAAAGTAAACCGGGTGTCTATGGAGACTATGACAGGGCGTGGGAGTTTTATGAGACAGCTCGCCGACCGAAAGATGTGAGTCCGGCTTTCTTGGCTCACTTGAGTAGGTCAACACTGTTGCGCAACAATCTACGGGCTCAGTGGGTCTTTCGGAGAATCTATCCTCGTGACCGTTCCGCTGAAGATTATCTGCACCTGGCAAAGTCTTACTTGGCTGTCGGGAAGCCTGATGAGATACACAGAATTTGCAAAGACGCGAGAGGCGGGGGCGGAGATGTTCTTTGTTGGGCCTTTGCTTTTTCGCATTTTGTCAATAAAGCAAATTGGCACTCTGCTGAGAAGTTTTGGAATGCGCGGCCGCCATCCTCTGAGAAGGCATTGCTGAGTGCAGTCGCTTCTGAGCTGGATGACTCCAACCTTCCGACGAAGCTTTTCGATCTCGCTAAGGTATTGCGGAGTCAGGAGACCTCGATGTCCTGGAGTGGTCTTGTCCACTTTCTCCTGGACTATGCTTTTTCAAATTCTCGAGTCGCGGCGGACGTATCGACAGAAAATTTCCTCCATCTATTAAAGGAGTACAATCTACTGGGGTTCCTCACGGCGCAGCACTATTTCCGCCTGATTCGGACTCTCCAGTCCTCCGATGTTCGCTCTACATTCACGAAGTCAATTGTAGTGTACCGTAATCTTCGCTGGCAGATGGAACAGGAAGTGCCTCCAGCAGATCTTTTGGGCGCGTTTTTGCGGTGTCTGGCTCATTTCGAAATCACAACTGGGATACATTATTTCCTGGGTGAATATGCCCGTTTCCACGGCCAGCCATCCATTGACGCATACAAGAACGCGCTCATTGCGTTTTCAAGAGCCGGAGATGTGGAAAATACCAACAGCGTTTTTGAACAGCTTGTGATGCATCACGGGAAGCCCTCGAGTCGGAGGCTTTTGACTCCGCTCCTTTACGTCCATGCCAGGGTTGGCGATGTAACGGCGACGCGTCGCCAATTCGAGAGAGTATCAAAAGAATTCGGTCTGACGCAGAACACTGTGTGTTGGAACATCCTTCTCACTGCATATGCCAATGCAGATGACTTCGGAGGAGCCTTCGCTACCTTTGACAAAATGCTGGAGGAGGGTGTCCAGCCTAACTCTCATACTTTCGGAGCGTTGATGGGACTCTGTGCAAACAGGGGGGATATAGACACTGTCCGTCAATTGCTCGAGTTAGCGAAGAGAAGCCCTGTGCGGATCACTACGCCGTTACTGGATACAATCGTTGAAGCCTATTGTAACAATCGGGAGCTTGACAAAGCTGAGAGTGTTGCTGAGACCTGCCTTGGTCTGGACGTCAAAGGGTCTCGAGTGAGGATGTGGAATGTGCTGCTTTGGAACTATGCATTTCGCATGGACTTGGAGTCCATTTCAAGAATACGTTCCCGCATGGATTCTGCTGGAGTGCAACCTGACGCCATGACATATGCGGCTCTCATGCTCAGCTTGGTGCTGCGAGGGCAGACCGATCCCGCGCGCCGAATTCTCAGAACACTTCATCGAAGCAATCACATGTACGCCACAGAATTTCACTATGCCATCATCTTGTACGGTTATGTGAAAGAGCGGAACCGAGACATGGTTCACATCATTTTTCGCGAGATCAAAGAACGTTTCAAGCGTCCTGGATTCACTTCGCGGCTTCTCGTTCTCAGAAATCAGCTGCAACGCGATTTGGAACTTATCAAAACTGGTGGACGGGCAGTTAGTGGTGCCAACGTTCGGTTAGAGAACGCGGAAAGATTCCTTGCCGAAACAATCGCCGATTTTGACAAAACCAATATGGCGTCAAAAGAACCATTGCCCGGCGCGGGCAGATTACCAATCACCCAAGCCTTCCCTGCTATGTACTATGAATACCTCATCACGGCATATGGCACTCGGGGAGTTTTCCACAGGGTCAAAGAACTCTTCGATCAGTTCCTCCGCGACAGAAAATCCTCCGCTTCTGAACGCCCCGCCTATGATGTGGCGCCTCTCCGTCTCGTTTCTGCGCTGATGCTTACTTATTTGAAGTCAGAGCAGTATAAAAAGGTCGAAGAGTGTTGGCAGATTACGTTTCCCCGTGTCGTCAAGATGGCTACTCAGCCTGACCTTGATGAATGGCTGGCTGATCGCTTGCTACGTGCTGAAGAGACTGAGCAGCCCGATTATCCAATACCAAGCCCTGTCAACTCCCACAAGGATGTTCTCCTGAGTTCGGACAAGCCGGACATACTTGCTTTAAAGCCGCCGTCAATCTTACCGGCATGTCGATTCCTGCTGTCGCGACCCCTCTCCTTGTACATGCGATCATTGGCGTACCGGAACGAGACCTGGAAGATACCTCAAGTCGTAGCAGATGTACAGAAAGCAGGATTTCCTCTGACAACTTTCAATTGGTCTACATACGTGCAGATGATGGCTTCTTCCGACAAGCCTTCTGACCAGGTTGAGGCGTTCACTATCTTTGAGCGCAAGTTCATGCCTAACTTTCCTGGATGGAATAATCTTCGCCGGGGTTACGGAGTGAGACCACCTGGCGTACCTTCGACCATTGATGTTATGGAGAACCCGAGACGTGCGAAACCTCCTAACATGCTCGGCAAAGAATCTCGACGCTACTGGAGCAAGATCCAGCCTGACTTCATGCAACCTACATATGTCTCGATGGTCTATCTGGCATCCGCATTACAAGCGTTCCGGGAGAGGAGTATCTTTGACGGAGGATTGGAGGTCGGGACTCTCTTCAAAGTTGCGCCTAAAACTATTGCAGCCATTGCGGACATGCCGTACCTTCGTGAGAAGTTCCAAGGTGTGTTACTTCGGCGTCGTCAGGAGCAAGGTGACAAGAAGGGAGACTCTGGAGATCGTGATCATTTTGTGTGGACCGGCGGCATCCTTGGTGTTGGTGGCAAACCGAGGTCTCCAACAGCCGTTGAGCAGTCAGCGATGGAAGCGGACCAAGAGGAAAATGCTTCGGCCAGCGCGCGGCCCCAGCCAGGTGTGATCCACGACGAAGCACCTGATGGCACAAACGCTCCTGCTGTCGAGACGGAATTATTCCCTGAAGACGTGTCCACGCCTAACACCAAGAGCATAGACCCGCAGGACCAGTTCGATATTGAGGCAGAAGCGCTCCTTGGATCCAGACGGGCTCTGCTAGAGGCGAGCGAAGCATTGCTGGACAATGAACACCGCGCTTCAGCGGATGAAGGCGATGAGACAGACATGTCTGCCTTGATGGACGATTTGGCAAACTCAGACGAAGATGCGCCAGAATCAGCAGACGGGCGACAACAACAGGAACCGCCTACCGAGCATCAAGGCCAGCCAGAGCAGGAGCAACACAACAGCGGTATGGCGCAGGATGCATAGGATTCTTTTTCACTTATCCCGTTTTGGTCAATCTTGTATATCAGAATCTATGATTGTATATTATTACCTATAGATATATATATCCACTTTTTTAGGACATTTGTATAATAAGGATGACTTCTGATAATGAGTGTAATCATATCGGGCTACCATACAAAGTAGGAAGCCAGGACATTGTCACATGACATTATACTTTGGCTGAGTCATTAGCGACTATTCCGCGACGCGTCAAAGATGAAAGGACGCGTTCCAATTATGCCCGATTTGGGTGTCGTGTTTCTTGAAGAAAGATCCCTCCGCTAGCAACCATTCAAGGAACAAATTGGACACCCCCCATTATCGTCCTTGAATGAGACTGAACTGCAGTGCCAGCGAAATAAACTCGTTAAGTCTTTTGATCACATAATTGATCACCTCTATCATATAAATCCACAAGTCGTGGACATCCTTCGTCATGGATGGGGTACAACTCCGCGATGAGGCCGGTCAAGATCGAGTGAGAGCTGCAGTCGAGTTTCTCGATCCAAGTAAGTTTTCAACATACATGCTTCGTGAAGTAAATTTCTGACTAGAGTCCTAACAGGCGATGCCCG